TGTGGTGTATACATGGATGACCATACGTATTCCAAACCATCTAAAATAAGTAACTCGAATCCTTGCAAATCAAGAAAAACCCAAATGGGAAACCAATAATGTGTCAAAACCAAAAGCAACTAGGAATACAATAATTTCTCGAGGATAATGTTAGGAAGATAATTTTTAAGCTGAATTTACAAAGCAAATAATGTGTCGTCAATAAAAAAAATAAGCACGTTAATCAATATTAAGTAATAATCCAATTATCAACATCCATATCATTTGGTTTACAAAATTTAGTTTAAAATTTTAATCTCTCAAGCATTACCTTTTTCTCAAACTTTCATGAATTGAGTCTGTAACATCCCGGTCCGGGCCCCCACCACATCCCGGGCTCGACTCCGACGTAGCACGATATTGTCCGCTTTGGGCCCCGATCACGCTCCCACATTCTCAGTGGGTCACCTATCATGGGATTGCTCTCGTGCGAACTTGCTTAACTTCGGACTTCTGATGGAACTCGAAGTCAGTAAGCTCCCAAAAAGGCCTCGTGCTAGGTAGAGATGAGAATATACATATAAGGCTTATAGGATCCACTCCTATGGGCAATGTGGGATGTTACAATCCACCCTCCTTAGGGGTCTAACGTCCTCATCAAGGGATTGGTTCGGACACCAAATTGTCACATCCCGACCTGGGCCCCCACCACATCCCGGGCTCGACTCTGCCGTAGCACGATATTGTCTGCTTTGAGCCCCGACCACGCCCTCACGGTTTTTTTTTTTAGAACTCACGAGCAACTTCCCAGTGGGTCACCCATCATGGGATTGCTCTCGCGAACTCGCTTAACTTCGGAGTTTCGATAGAACTCAAAGCCAGTGAGCCCCAAAAGGTCTTGTGCTAGGTAGAGATAGGAATATACATATAAGGCTTACATGATCCACTCCTCTATATGATGTGGGATGTTACAGAGTCAGACTCAACTAGACCTGGATATACACACACATGTATATATGCATAACTTGGTCTCATTACGTGTGTGGAATATGTCTTTTGAATACAATGATATTCAAAGTTATTTTGACAATGTTACGTAAATGACTAGATTTGAGAACGAGAATGACCGGACGTCCTGACTCCACAAAGATAAGTAACTCAAATCCTTGCACATCAAGAAAAACCTAGATTGGAAAGAAATAATGTGTCCAGAACGAAAAGAAACAAGGAAGCATAATATTTCTCAAAATATTGATCAACTGAGCCGGACTCAGCCTAACATGTTTCTTGAATGTATAGTGGATTGCTATTTGGCTAGGAAAAGATTGAAAGGGAGTTGCTACAAGACACGTTTGTGTACATTATTTGCTACAAGACACGTTTGTGTACATTATACACATCACATTGTTTATAAATTTGATCTAAAAAGTTGGTTTACCTAGTATTACTCTTTGATAATATTTGTTCTCATTACTTGTGTGTAAAGGGAACTGCTAATTTGTTTTTTGGATACAATGAAACCGAATTAATTCTATTCTCTAACAATATTATGCACTACCAAAGTTGAACTAAACAGAGTTATAGAGACACGGTACTCATGAAGGTAGAAGAGAATGAATTAAAGTAGTATTCTTCCTTATATATAGAGGATTAAGTGTTATTTTCCTTCATTATTAGAGGTAGTTTTATTTGTATATGTTAGTTATTATTAGATGCATTTATTGTTAATTTTCGCCTTTAAATTCCAGGAGGAGCGAATAAGATATTTGTCCCTAAAACTATTGTGGCTATTACTATATCTGAACCTAATAATAGCAATTTTCGCCCCTATTGCTGTTCCTGCCATGCTGACAGTTAAAACAATATAGTCATACAATTAAGCCCCTATTGTAGTTAACTATTATAATCATTTAAATTTAATTCCCTTGTAAATTAGATTAAGGAACAATTACACATACATCCAAATTATAAGACTATATTTTGGAGAAGGACAAATTTTTTTATTGATCTTAAAGAGGGACAAAACTTATCCATGTCGCATAATGTCACGACTGATTGGTTTTTTAATTGTTTTTACATTTATAATTTTACCCTTGTATAATTGAGAGATGAGTCTATCTCTTCGTTAGCACTAGTTCTCTCTCTCTCTCTCCTTCCTTTTCTTTGTGATTTTCTCTCTATGTTCCTTCTCTTCTTACCCGTCTCTCTCTTTCTTTCTCCACGTTCTTCCTACCTTTCTCTCTCTTTTTCTCACTCTCCTTGTCCGTCCTTATTCTTCTCTCTTATTTCTTCTTCCCTCCTCTCCTTCTTCTTGTTCCTATTTTTCCTTAGACTCATAAGTGGTTTCTTTTCTAAGAACGATTAGGATTTTTTTTTATTCTCTTTTTTTTTTTTAAAAAAAATTGATTTTTAAGCTTTGATTGATTTGGATGCATGAATTTTGAAACTGATATTGCAGAAATGCAAGAATTTTTTAAACTAATCTTGCAGAAATGTTGAAAATTTGAAACTGATCTTGCAGGAGTACTAAAAAAATTGAAACTAATCTTGTGAAAGTGCTGAAATTTTGAAACTAATGTTGTGAAGTGCTAAAATTTTTGAAAGTAATATTGCAGAAATACTGAAAATTTATAACTATCTTACAGAAGTGCTGGAATTTTGAAACAATAAGTGCTAAAAACTTTGAAACTAATATTGCAGAAGTATTGAAATTTTGAAACTGATCTTGTAAAAGTGCAGAAAATTTTGAAACTGATTTTACAAAAATGAAGAAAATTTTGCAACTGATGGTGCAGAAGTGTTGGACTTTAAAAATGATCATGCATAAGTAATAAAAATTTTGAAACATTTTTTTTTATCAAGGTAAAATTTTTGAAACTAATGCACATAGTACAAAGCTTGGAAGAAAAAGAACACAGCCATACTACTAAAAAATGTATGAGAAATTCAATGTCAAATTGTAGTCTGACCTATCTATACTCTAAAACTATTAAGATTTCACAAATCACAAAAGGAGCACTAAACACCTGCATAACCTGGCAAGTATTCAGTTTGATCACGAATCATAATGATATTTTCACAAACTTAACCACTTGTACAACTCGACATGTGTTGGATTTTATTACAAAAAGTATCGTGCAATTAAGAGTGAAACCATTCAATATGATTGCAATTTATTCTATCAAGTTTTGAATGTGGAATTACAGTCTTCAACAAAAACCGGTATATTTGTGACATGTCGTTCCCTTTATTTTGAAAAAGTTTAAAATACTTTTTATTTTATTTTAAGAAAAACACAATATTTCATTCATTGATAAAGGCCTTTACAAATATTTATCATGAAGACCTCGGTCCCAAAAGAGTCCTTGCAAACTAGATATAAAAATACTACAATAAAGCATCACTAATCGCAAAGTAATGAGTATACTTCAAGCACTTGTCCAAACTCATCGAAAACTGCACGATTACACAAATCAATAAAACCGTTAATTTTCGTGTTACACGAAGATTATGTGAGAACAAAATCTCAAACCATAAATTGGAACATGGACTACGATGCCAATGGGTCAATCACATCATCTAACCACCCCCACAATCCCTGAACACCATATGAAGTAAATCCAGCAAATCAAACATCTCCATCCTTTACACTTAGATCCAAAAGAGGTAGCACACCCAAAAAAAAAAATTTAAATGAAGCAACTCTCCTATAGAGAGAAATCAAACTAGCAAACTCAAATCAAACCAAAGTCCAAGACAATTCTTGAAAATTATTAAATATAAACAAAATAAAAGGATAAAATCATGTCGCCGCACCGCATCCTCTAGACATCCGAAAGTCATATCACTACACCGGCTAAACCCAAGTGTCGTAGTGACTAAACTTGATCCCTATGCAATTAGGCATCTTCCATGGTGACTAAAGTGTTTCACAGTGACAATTCAACATCAAAATAGAATAAACGGAAATTGAGAAGGAAGAGACCAAGAATGATTTTCAAGCCGATTGCCCCAACCCCCAAAGCCAAGGGCAGGTCTCGATGGCAGATGAATTTTCCTGGGTTTTCCGGCTACGGTTTTTCGTCAGATTTGTTAACAATGTTATACAATGAATTATTTAATATCATCCTAAACAAAACTTTACGGTACAAATAAGTTTAAAATACTTAAATCCGTTTTCTTTCTGCATTCTTCAACGTTGAATTAATAATGACATCGCAAGTCTCAAGCAATTAATTTTTGCAAGCTCACGACTAATTAATCTGATTTTGTTCTTTTAAGTAAAGGTTAATTAATAGGACCAATTAATTGATTTTCAATGCGAAAAAAAGAAGAAAAATAGCTAGATGTTGCAACTGATCGCAAATCGTTAAACAATAAATTTGACATCAAGACAACTTAACCAAATGACTTTCGTTAGGAGGATTGCTGAAGTTCTCTTTTGACTGCAGAGCTTTTGCTGTTGTACAACATTGAGGGACACAAATGTCTCTGGCTGTTGTACAACATTGAGGAACACAAATGTCTCTGCGACTAATTAGCCACATTGCTATATTTATATCATCTTTGCCACACAAAAATTACACTATTGCTAACTCACTTCTCTTATCTTGTACATAATTACAAATGAGTCCAAGGTATATTTCCACGACTCACTTGTATTAAAAAGTGTGTCAACAATAATATCAATTTAGTGTGCCTAAATATAATTACCGATACCATATCGACTTGCAACATTTCAATTTACAAATTAATTTAAACAGAGTAACAACATGTATTATTTTTTTCTTCTAGAGCAACAACTAGTGTCTATTTAAGAACTTGCAACGTTCTAAATTAATTGTTTTGAGAAAAAGAAACAGTTTTTAGGCAGGAATATTATTTGTTATTATTACTTCTTTGCAACATACTCTGTAATTAATTGGTCATAAACATTACGTTTTCTCATCATAAGGAAAAAAAAACATTATGCTTTCAAGAACTCAAGAAGAAAATACCGCAGTAGAAAAAATTGCAAGATAATGAAGGGACAAAGCTCTGCAACAATACCCTTCATTTTCCCATTCCTTTTGCTCTTTAGTAGCACTGTTTATTGTCTCACTCCTTTCTGTGCATCTATTGATCCACCAATAAAGGATATCCCTGATCTCAAATACACCCCCATACCGCTTCCGAAACATTCTCAACAAATTCTCAATGACTTCCTCGAATGCCTTGCGGTAAAATTTCAGTCCACCAACCACCCTATCATGGAAGCCATTTACACCCCACAAAATACCTCATTTCACCAAGTTTTGCTGGCACACACTAAAAACCGCAGATACACAACGCTTGATACTCCAAAACCTTTGGCTATTGTAGCAGCCAAGCACGAACGCCATGTGCAAGCAACCGTAATTTGCGCAAAACAACATGGGTTGCAGATTAGAATCCGAAGTGGTGGCCATGATTATGAAGGTCTATCATACGTATCGGATGTACCCTTTGTCATTCTTGACATGTTCAATCTTCGATCCATTGATGTTAATGTGACGGAAGGGAGGGTTTGGGTTCAGTCAGGGGCTACAATTGGTGAACTTTATTATGAAGTTGGAAAGAAAAGTAGGGTTCATGGGTTTGCAGCTGGATCTTGTCCAAGTGTCGGTATTGGTGGTCACTTTAGTGGTGGTGGGTATGGTCCTTTGTTGAGAAAATATGGGCTTACAGTGGATAATATTGAAGATGCTAGACTAGTTAATGTGAATGGTGAAATCCTTGATCGAATGTCAATGGGAGAAGATCTATTTTGGGCCATTAGAGGAGGTGGTGGAGCAAGCTTTGGAGTCATTCTTTCGTGGAAGATCAAATTGCTTCCAGTTCCAGCCCAAGTGACTGTGTTTCAGGTAGAAAGGACGCTGGAACAAGGCGCTAAGGATGTGGTTCATCGATGGCAATACGTTGCACCTAAGCTCCCTGAAGACCTCTTCATTAGAACAGCAATAAAAACCAAGAATGGCTCCCAAGAGGGCACGAAGGCTGCGGTAGCAATATTCTCTTGTCAATTTCTGGGACGAGCAGACAAGCTTCTTCAATTGATGAATGAAAGTTTCCCTGAGTTGGGTTTACAGCAAAAAGACTGCTTTGAAATGAGTTGGGAAGAATCCATGATATTCTTGGCTGGTTGCCCAGTTGGAACTCCCCTAGAAGTTCTACTTTCTAGGCCAAAATTGCCAGTAATTTTCTTCAAAAGTAAGTCCGACTACGTGAAAAAACCAATTCCAAAACATGGTTGGAAATCTTTATGGAAAAATCTGATTACGATAGATCACTTGTTAGTGCAATTGAACCCTTACGGCGGAAGAATGAGTGAGATTTCTGAATCAGGAACTCCATTCCCTCACAGAGCTGGAAATCTGTTTTCAGTTCAGTACTTTATTTCTTGGAAGGAAGAACAGATTGAGACCATCAAGCGGAATATTCATAGGTCAAGAAAGTTGTACAAAAGTATGGCTCCATATGTCTCCCAGAACCCAAGAGAGGCTTTGCAAAACTATAGGGATCTTGACATAGGTGCCAATCTGCACAACCGGACTAACTTTCGAACAGCCAGACGTTATGGTAGCAAATATTTCAAGGGTAACTTTGATAGATTGGTACGTGTGAAAACTATGGTAGATCCCCATAATTTTTTCCACCATGAACAAAGTATTCCTCCCCTTTAAAAATTACAGAGAATCATAAAGTCAATTGCATTGGTAATGTACCAACAAACTTGTAGGTAAGGATACAACAGGGTAAAGTGGGCAAAAAACATACAAGCAATTGGAGTTATGAAATTAAAATTTCTTATTAGTATGGCGTTTCCTATGACACAATTGATTAGTTCTGAGAGTTTTGATCTCTGACATGATCTTGATAGTACTAGATTCATTGGCTTCAATGGATCCTTCATCAGTTTCAGTTTCTTGCAATATTTAGGATTAGTTGTTAATTAACTTTTGTTGATGCACAAAACCGGAGGTCTTGGAACAACGTAATTCCGACCGTGAATCTGCTAGAAAGTAAAGAACACAAGGTGTATCGTGGTTCATCCCAATGTTTGGGCTACGTCCACACTGATGTTGATATTGTTTTACTCTGAATGGTGAATATACAAGAAGGCTAGAGGCAGTGTGCTCTCTAGCCTATTTTCTGTGTTTGCCCTCTCTGAGATGTTTTCTCTCTTCCCATGGCCTAAACCTTGACCTATCCTAATGAGGAGAGTGATGAGTCCTTTTATAGAATAAGGGCTCCTCACTTATTATATATTTGCCCATTCATTTATTACATAATTACATTTGAGTCCCCTGAGTATTTATACGAGGTCTAAATACGGAGGCCCTAAATATGGTACAAATAGTAGTCCCCTAAGTCTTCAGTCAAGAGAGTCTTTTGGCTTAAGACTTGAAATTCAGTCCATGTGTGGGCCGAAGTAACTAGATGTTGTCTAGAACTGATACTCGATATGAAGTGGTGCTCAATGTGAAATGATGCTCAACTAGAAGTAGGACATGTTGCAAGGCTGCTCGGCTTGTGGCTTATGTTGCATTGGTTGGCTCTGCTTGTGGCGTTGAAGGTGAGAGAGTCCCTTTTATAGAATAAGGCATCGCTCCTCAATACATAAATGATGGGCTAGAGTTGATGCTCGCGGCAAGACGGTTGCTCAGCAGGCGGCGATGCTCTCTAATGATGGTGAGGGGGTCCTTTTTATAGAATAAGGGCTCGCTCCTCAATACATAAATGATGGGTTAGGAGTGATGCTCGCTGCGATGCCGTTGTTCAGCTGGCGGCGATGCTCTATAATGAAGGTGAGGAAGTCTCTTTTATAGAATAAATGTTCGCTTCTCAATACATAAGTGGTGGGTTATGAGTGATGCAGGCGGCGAGGCTGTTGCTCAACTAGTGGCGAGGTTGTTGCTCAGCTGGCGGCGATGCTCTCTAATGAAGGTGAGGGAGTCATTTTTATAAAATAAGGGTTCGCTCCTCAATACATAAGTGATGGGCTAAGAGTCTTTCTTTAATGAAGGTGAGGGAGTCCCTTTTATAAAATAAGGGTTCGCTCCTCAATACATGAATAATGGGTGCTCTCTAATGAAAGTGAGGGAGTTCCTTTTATAGAATAAAGGTTCACTCCTCAGTATATAAATAATGGGCTAAGTCCCCCAAGTATTTTTCATGAGGCCCAGTTGCGGAAGCCCAATATATGGTACATAGTGTAGTCCCCCAAGTCTTCAGTCAATATAGTATGTTGGCTGGAGACTTCAAATTCAATCTATGTATGGGCTGAAGTAGCGGTTGTTCAGATGCGGTCTTTGTATACTATGCACTGAAGCTTTGTAGGTGAGGCTTTGAAAGTAAAGCTTTGAAGCTAGAGCTTTGTAAATGAAGCTTTTGAAGCTGAAGCTTTTGTAAATGAAGCTTTTGAATGTTGCTTGACATGAGTGATGCTCATAGATGTTGACATGAGTGATGCTCATGAATGTTTATGTATGATTGACATGAGTGATGCTCATGTATGATGATGATTGTCATGAGTGATGCTCATGTATGATTTTTTTGGAGTACTGGACGTACTTTTGATCACTTAGTTGGTGATAATAGAGGGTGAACCTTAAGTGGAGGGATGGAGGTTGGAGTTTGAAGTCATAGGGCCTGACTCTTTTTGGCATATGGGCATTCGCCCTCCACATAACATTTCATCCCACTAGTTTGGGCTTGTCGACAGTTTGCCTTTATTTTTATTTTTGGCATGCTGCCTTCTTTACACATCAGTATAACTATTCAATAATTGCTCCAATTTGCAGAAGACAACTTAATAAAATATTCATCAATGACAGTGGGTATGGGCTGTAAAGATAAGAGTCTTATCTTTGTGGTTGTTTTCTCTGAGTGCGAATGGATGATTGAGTGTGGCAGAGGAGAGACATGTGCATGGTGGGAATGATGCTCAATGTCTTATCTTTGAAGATTTGCAGGCATGCCTTAAAACAAACACATCCATAGCTTTTCCATACCGTCCACCTTCAAATTATGCAGCAAATTAGTCTCTTTAAATACACCCACTTGCTCATTTTCTTGTAGCTTTTTCAGAATATTCAGAGCATGCTCCTTTGCAAATTTGCATGCTTGCTTTACAGCAAACACATCCATAACTTTTCCAGGCTGTCGACAAAAGCCATTTTGCATAATAAAGTTCTTATCTCTATTTTCCCCCAGACAGTGAAGATGGCAGCATGTGACCAGCCGTAATCATGCCCTCCGCCATCTGTAGATGACAACAGATCATCAATGCCAGTCCTTCCCACCTTGGCCGATAAGATTTGCATCGACACCAACAACTTGGTATAAATGCCTTCACTTAGTTCAATAATCCCAGTTGTTTACGTTGGATCACCACCAAGAGTACTAAGAGCGTGGTTTGCAACAAAACAAGCATATAATCCTTCATCAGATCCTAACTTTTGCTATTGCTGCTGCTTTCAGATTCATCGTCTTCGAGTTTTCGTCGTAGAGCTTCAGTCTTGATCTCATCCAGAAGGTCGTCTGCAGCATACAGAGCATCTTTGAGTTCGTCGAGCCACTCCCTCATAGCTGGGTTTTTGAACTGCTTCTCATCTGCATCATCAAGAACCGAATTAACTAAGCAGCTTAATCTTCAACTTCTTGAGCAGTCCGCTGATGATCTTTTGTCTGCGGATGAAGTCGACGATGGGACGGGAGGCCAGCCTATCAAATAAGACAGAGAGAAAGGAAGAGAGAAGAACACCGCCCATAACTTCTATCGCCATGGATTTCAATCTTCTGATGGATGGGAAGTTAAAAGAAATTGGATCGGGTGAGGGCGCGGTACCAGAACTTGCAAACCAATAAGGCCCTACTGCGGTCGCGGCGGGAGGTGAGGAAGCAGATGACGTTTTGCAGAACGTTCTCGAGGACTTGGTCCGAGTAGGGGACAATATACTCGACAGAGGTACCTACGCCAGAGCCGAATACTCGAGAGAACTTGGCCGAGAAAGCTGAGTGTTTTTTGGTGACAAAATTTTCTTCTTTTTTTTTGTGCACTTTCGCTTCTGTGTGTGTACAAGAAACTAGAGAGAACACAGAAGACTAGAGGGGAGAGAGATAGAGGTGGTGAGGTTTTGGGTTTTGCAATGACTGTGCACGTGTTTGGTTCTTGGGTTTCTGCAGATTCACGGTGGATATTGTGGTGAGGTTTCACGGTGGTGAGATGAAAAAATGAAAAAGAACCGACATAGTTTTTCGTGTCGTTTCCCACAGATGGCGCCAAATGTCACTACTACAATATTAGCTTTAGGTGTCGAACGATTCTGGCGGTTAATAAGTCATTCTGATGGATAAAAGATATCCGACACATAATTTATTTACTGTCGGATTAAAGTTAATTTTTGTCGGATATATCCGACATAAATTACTAGCGGATTTAACCGCCATAAAATTATTATAACTCTCAGTATTTTGAATTCTTTTTTTTTTTAAATATTTTTAACATATTCTGGCGATTATAACCGACATAAATTGACTATTTTATTATTTTAAAATGTTACATTGATTAAAATAAATAAACAAATGGTTTAATTTTTTTTTTCACTCACAGTCCCGTTACCTAATCTCTGAATGTTTTTTTTTTTTGCAATTTTTTACACATGCTATCTCGGAGTATATACAAACATATTTGACTGTTGGATCGTTGAAACTAGTTTCGTAGAATGCATATCCTATCAAATTGATAGATTTAACAAACACTTAAGAGTTAATGTTATACTTCCATTAAGTATAAAAAATTATCCACTGGTATAAATATTTTAAATTGAAGATCGAATTCGTTCAATGCATTATTATAGGGTCGAGGAGTGTAGCTATAAAAAATCATCAAAATCAGAGCTAAAATAACTGTTAAATTATGATTTTTTGTTTATAACCATTGAACATTTTTGTTTCGTTACCTAATCTCTGAATGTTTGTTTTTTACGATTTTTTACGTATGCAATCTCAGAGTGTGTACAAATAAGTTTGATGGTTGGATCGTTGAAAAACGTTTCGTAGAATGCATATTGCATCAAAACTATAGATTAAACAAACACTTAGAGTTAATATTATACTTCTATTAACTATAAAATAAGATTTTGTGGTATCCACTAATGTAAATATTTTAAATTGAAGATCAAATTTATTCATTGCATTCTTATAGGGTTGAGGAGTGTAGCTGTAAAAAATCATCAAAATCGGAGTTAAAATAATAGTTAAATTGTGATTTTTCTTTTATAACCGTCGAAAACTTTTGTTCCGTTACCTAATCTCCGAATGTTTGTTTTTTATGATTTTTACGTATGCAATCTCGGAGTGTGTGCAAATAAGTTTGACGGTTGGATCGTTGAAAAAAGTTTCGTAGAATGCATATTGCATCAAAACTGTAGATTAAACAAACACTTAGAGTTAATATTATAAAATAAGATTTTGTGGTATCCACTAGTGCAAATATTTTAAATTAAGGATTGAATTTATTCATTACATTCTTATAGGGTCGATGAGTGTATATGTAAAAAATTATCAAAATCGGAGCTAAAATAACCATTAAATTGTGATTTTTCGTTTATAACTGTCGAAAACTTTTGCTCCGCTACGTAATCTATGAATCTTTGTTTTTACAATTTTTTACGTATGC